GGCCAGGCTGTTTCCACCAAGTGTAGCCACACTCAGCAGGAGCAGGCAGAGCTGCCGGGGCAAAACGACCTCACGTGAGGCACACCCAGGCCGGGTGGGACGGGGGCTCCGCACACCACAGTCTTGGTGCCTCCTATCCCCGGAGGTCAGTGCGAGCTGACAGGCTCTCAGAGCTCGGGGCCACACCAGCGGCCTCTTCTTAAGCTGCTAGGCCCCTGCTGCTATCCTCATTTGCGCCAGGCGTTCATTGAGCGCCTGCTGTGTGCTAGGACAAGCAACAGGGACAAGACCCATGTCCACCCCGCAGGAGCTCAGGGGCTGGTGGGGCCGGAGGTGGGACAACAGACGAAAAGACAGCCTCCTGCACGGGGGCTTCTCATTACCAGTGGCAGCCCCTGCTCCGGCGTTTGAGAAATGCTGGGCGAGCCCTCCCCGCCCAGAGCTCGTCTCTGGATTTAAAAAAAAACAGAGAGTCAAAGGGAAGAACTCCCAATGACCCTTCTAGTCTGATTTTGGTGGTGCTTCTGTTTAAAGAGTGATACTTAAATCCTTGCGCCTTGATTGGGATTTCTGCAAATGCAAGAAGGAAACTCCGATGTGTTGGGCGGGGTGCAGACGTTTCACTGACGCGTGGCTGCCGATGGCCTTGGTCTGGCTGCCCACTTCGTCAGGCCAGCTTTAGCCCTGACGCACACACGAAGCGTGTCCACAGGGCTGTGGTTCAAGCTGGGGATGCTCTGGGAGGACGGTTTCCGACCCCGTGGGAGGCCCCAGGACCCTGCTCCATCCCGGGATATTTCGTACAGCTGCGGTTTCTCCTCTTGCAGCAAGGTTTTGACAGAAACATGCTGGGAGCCTTAGCTGGGGCCAACAGCCTCAGGAACTTCACCTCCCGATTCTAAGGAGAGGCTGCCCAAGTAAGTCAGCTTGCAGGTAAGAATGGCCCTCCCCCAGGGTGGGGGCACCTCCAGAGCCCCTGCAGCAGCCTCAGCCAGTCTCAGGGAGAGAGGCCAGGCCCGTGCGCCCCAAGGACTCAGAAGCATCCTTCAGCCTGGCAGACAGCCTGGCTCTGGCCAACACAAAGCCTGTGAGGGAAGCAGTGTAGACTGCTTGGCCAGCATGCCATGGGCTGTCCCACCACAGGACATTGGACATATGTGATATCCTGGTAGCATCAGCAGGCCAGAGGTCTGGGCAGAACTGCTGGGTACATGTGTGTGGGTTGTGCACTGCACAACCCAGGTGGTGCCATTCACATGGACTACGGTGTGACTAGCCACCCTAGAGTTATCCCATATGTCATTGTGGGTTTGGGATCCACAGCTCACCTTCTTATCCTTTTTGTAATCCACTTTCCGGTTTCTGCACATGCCTAGTGTAGACAAGCTTATTTCTAGCTGATGATTCTAGGGACCAAAAGGTCAGAACCAACATCTACGACAGAGGCCCACAGGCCTGAGCTTTCGTGATAATCACCTGGGATGCTTACGGAAATGCACGCTCCTGGCCCCAACCCCAGCAGTGCTGACTCAGTGGCCCTGGAGCGTGGTCCAGGAAAAGGCATTTATAAACAAGCTCTCCAAGTGACTTTGGGGGCAGGTAAGCGAGCGGCCACACTTAGCGCTCAAACCAGGCATCGAGCCCAGTCTCAGGCCAGCGCCCATCCGTGCGTACACATCGGGGGACGGGTGGCAGGTGCGGGATGGAGACTTCTGGGGGTGCTGATTATGGGATTTCTCCTCTTCCAGAGATGAAATGACCCAGCTGAGAAGACCACAGGCCTCGCTGGAGGGGTCATTCTGTCCACACCATGCAGTGTTTGGACAAGTTCAAACGCAAGGAGAACAAACCTGGACACTGCAGATGATGGAGATATTTTTAGATTTTTTTTTTCCTTAGGGGAACTGGCAGAAAATGGGGGTTGGGAGGGTGGGGGGGGGCCTTTCTTGAGTTAAAGGGGCTTGTCTCTGATGTTGATACTTCTTTCGCTGAGAACTGGTATATACATGTGTATAATGTGTGAGTGTGCGCGCACGTGCGTGTGCGCAGGTGTGTGAACGCGTGACCGCAAACTGCAAACAGCGGGGTGAGCTGTCCGACTGCAGCTCACGAGCGGTGACAAGGACTCCTCGTGTTTCTCACTCGTGGGCAAGGACGACGCGTGCTTCTTGTTTCTCTGTGCGTAGTTCCCAAAATGCATTGTGCCCGGGGCAGGGCCCTCACCGGGGTCAGGCCCCAAGGAGGCTGCAGGGGGACCGTCTCCCAGGGGGCGAGGTGGCAAGGGAGAGGTGGCAAGGGTGTTGGGGTGCAGTGTATCTCCTGGGAAAATCGGGTTGTCCCGGAACGCCCCCCTTCCCCCAGCACCGTGAGGCCTGGGGCGGGCGGGGTGTGGGCCCTGCAGACGGGCAGGGACAGTCACACTTGCTTTGCTGTAGGAAGTCTGTCCCGGGGGGCTGGGAGCGGAAGAGGGGGCTCACCATTCTCTCGGGCCGCGTCCCCGTCAGAGCAGCTTCAGCCTGCAAAGGGGCTGGTCATCCTTGGGAAAGAAAGCGGATGATGCTCGGAGCGAGAGAGCTGTTCAGGGCCTGGCTGTCTGGTCTTCATCGTCCTGCTGGAGGGGGACGGCTGGGGCTGAGCAGGGACCCACTCCAGCCTCCAGGGGCACAGGCGCCTTTTCAAGGTTAACAGGAGGATGCTTCCCTGCCTGTCAGGGGAGACTCACCTGGGGAGTGCTGGGGGTCCCCGGAAACGTGGAGCAAGGGGATTTGGAGAGACCAGGAGAGGGACTGTCATGTCAGGGCACCAGCAGGTGGCTGCCCCCACCTTCCCCTGAGCCCCAGCTGCAGGGGATGCCATAACAGAGGCCCGGCCCCGCCGGGGGCACCAGCCGCAACCCAGACCCCAGAGTCGTGTGCATTTCAGATGAGAAGTAGTGGAAGGGCCTCATGAGCAAAGCTGGCTTAAAGGGCCCTCCGCGTGTCCCGAGGGACCGAGCAGGACAGAGGGTGCCGGGCTCCCCCGGCCTCAGCCTCCACCGCCGTGCCCACGCTGTTGGTATCAGATAGGATTTAGCTGCCTGGTCCATACCCTCCTCTGGAAGATGGACGGTGCTGCTCGCTCCTCATGGGCACGGCCCCTCGTCCTCCTCCCAGGCCTCCTTCCCCCGCTGCCCCGCCCCTCAATGGGGCCCCACTTCTTACCCAGCCGTCAGAACCCCAAGGCACCTCTCTGGGCTCAGAGTGTGCTGTTAGGAGATGCAACAGCTGAGGCTGGGGGAGGCCAGACGTGACGACAGACTGTTTAACCAGGTGTCTGTGGGTCTCTGCCATGCTCCCTCCTTCTGCTCCTGGCTCACCCCTCCCTCTCTCCCTCTCAGCCCGTGAGGGAGCCTGGTCCCCGAGACTGTCTTGGGTGCAGGCATCAGAATGACCCCTCTGCTGGTCATCGGGGCAGAGGAACTCATTTCTTTAAAACACGTGTCTGGAGCACCAAGATGGGCCGGCACCTGTCACTGTCCTCACGTAGCCCACATTTTCTTGGAGGAAAGGAAAGATGGGGGTCCTTGGCTTTAGGGCTCCCCAGTGTGAGAGGACTGTCCAGCCCAGTCAGGGTGAGAGAGACGTAGCTGCTCCAAGCGAGTCGGCGACGGCCCGCGAGGGGCCCCAGCCGCAGTGGCTCTGCCCTGACGTCCCACAGCAGCTCTGCCCACTTTCCCTCCCCGCAGGGTTGCAGAACCCAGGGCCCGGCCCTCTGCCTGGGGACGGGCAGCTTTCCAGACCCCGGAGGTCCGAGGTGGACAGTGAGGCTGGGCCTGATTTTGGTAATGTCTTTCGTTCCCCGTCCTTCGGAAGATGCGACCCTGAGAGTGTCGCTAGAAAAGGGGGTATGGGGTTTGCCAGGCTGTGTGTCCGGGCATGTCTCAGTATTTCACTTCCACGTGGGCCTCTCACTACCGCAGTCCACACCCAAAGCAATACGCTCCAATCAGGGGCCAAAGGAGGAAGGACACGGACCACCCAGTCTTTCCCCATCCCTGCCCTGACCCCGGGATCTCCCGTGTTAAGGCAGATCCCATCAGTGGCCAGCAGCAGCCTGTCCAGGGCAGAGGGGGCCAGACCAGCAATGCAGACCCCACACTTCCCCCCGGGACATGGGAGGCCATGATGCTCTCTTGTCCACCATGGAGCCTGGCTGAGAGATAGGGTGGCTGGGATGAGCAAGATCGGGACTATGGGATGGGCAGGGAGGTGCCCCGGACCCACCGCCCCCCTGCGCCGTGTTCGTGTAAGAGCCACGTGCTGGCCAGGCCTGTCTCCCTGTGTGATGCACTGTGTATTCGCTTTGTTGGAAATAGAGGAAATCAATAAATTGCTGGCGTTTCTTTGAACCTTTTCAAGCAGTGGATTATTTTGGGGGCACAAAGGGCTGCCTGCTTCCCTCCAGGGTCCCCTCTTCCTGACCCCGTGCCAGGCAAGCACTGGGAGCCCCCTGACGGGAGAGAGACGCCGCCACGCAGACACCTGCTCCGCGTCCAAGCCCCTGATCCTCATGGTAGCTCCATGACGCTGGCATTGCTCCCCCAATCTTACAGATAAGTGAGGCCCAGGGAGGGGGCAGCTACGCCCACTGTCACACAGCTTGTAGAGGGAAAAGCCACCCCAAGCGTGAACGCCCCAAGGCAGGGTGCCCACGGGGACATCGGGATGTCAGGATGTGTTCTCCCTGGGGGTGAGGGAAGGTTGGGAACGCTCGGGGAGGGAGCTGGAGCTGAGCTCTCCCCAGCCTGGGAGGTGGTGACTGGCGTCTCTCTGTAGAGCCCAACGCCCTGACCTCCTGGGCCCTCCCTCCGCTGGGTGATGCTTGGGGAGCAGGCAGGACGGGAGGCCTCAGCCCAAGGGGAGGGAGGTGGCCGTCTGTGGCCCAAATTGTTAATACACCAGGTCTGGGGCCTCCGAAGATGAATGAGACCTGAACGCATGGATTGGCTCCAAAACGTGAGATCAGATTACGAATTCAAAACCAGTGAAGGTTTCATGGTTCGACTTTCACTAAAACGGAGTGTAGAAAGCACACGGCACCGCTTAAATGCACGCAGCTCCACGAGTCTTCGCGAACCGAACGCGTCGCGCCACCAGGACCCGGATCAAGAATGGAGTGTTGCCAGCCCCCACAGCTCCCCGAAGACCTGCCCGTAACCACCCCACTCCCCAGGGGAACGCTATCCTGACCTCTGACACCACAGGGTGATTCCGCCTGGTTTGCGCTTTCTATCAGTGGAGTCAGTGCGTCTGTTTTGTGTCTGGCTTCCTGAGCTCGTGTCTATGAGATTTGTCCGTGACCACTGTGTGTCCGGGTCACTGCCGGGTGTCTGTCCGTCAAGTGACTGTGTGCAGGGCAGAACACGCTGTTACATCCCCTATCATCGTTGCATCTTTTACAACATTGTGTTTACAACATTTGGAAACCATGTTTATCTTAGTCGTCCACTTCCTGGAAGTTCCCCCGTGTGATGTGGTTACCGGGAAATTACAAGGAATGGTAAAGAAATTCGATTCTCTTTGGGATGTGAGTGCATTCAATGTGCAGGCCTACCAAAGGGCTACGAAGGCCTGCGCTCAGCTATCCCTGGCCGAGAGGGCGGCAGGCCCTTCTGGCCCCTCCGAGGATGGGCCAGTGAGAGTGGGAGGGCCTGGGGCCCAGAGGCAGAGGGTGATGCCAAACTGGGGGCACCAGGAGCAGCCGGAAGCCGCGGCCAGAGCAACGACTCACGTCCTGGAGGCCGAGTCTTCCAGACCCCAGGCCCAGGCTGCCCGAGTCTACCTGCCCTGGGCCTCGGAGCCGTTTCCTCCCGTCGGCTCTGCAGGTGACGTGGCAGAGGCCCATTGCCCGCCCTGGAGTCCACGCTGCTCTGGAGATGGTCGGGCATCACTTCTTGGAACACAGTGCGCTCCGGCGCCCAGCATGGCGGAGAAAGCGGGAACAGAGGTTGTTAACAATGGCAGCAGCCTTTTCACTGGAGGGGCTACAAATCACTCTCTATCTTTCAAAGCCTCAGGGCGTTCAGCTTCTGATTTGATCTTTACTTGTCCTGGGGACACAGCAGAGGGCAGAGCATCAACTTGCAATTTCTAGACAAGGAAAGGGAGATGCAAAGAGAGAAAGGGACCCGCCCAGAGTCACTAGTGACTTTGTGACAGAACCGATACTGGGACCCAGGCCTCCTCTGTGCCAGCCTCGGGGACCCCGATCCACTCCCGTGAGTGTCTCAGACATCCCAGCCTCAGAGCACAGTTAGAGAGGCCTGACCCCAAGGTGGCACTGCGCAGAGCTCCATCTCTAGTGACCCAGAAGCTCGTGCCACCCTGAGACCTCCTGAAGTTACACATCTTGTGAGCGGGGCTGCTGTGCAGACAAGCACAACTGGGAAGTTCTGGTTCATGTGCATCAGACCCCATAGAGCTGCCATGAGGATTGGCTAGTGTGGGGCCAACCCGTTTGGTCGGTTAGAATATGGGGCTAAAGAGACCAGGGTCACAGGGCAAAAAAGTGCCTCAATGACCCCACAGACACCCACACACACCCCCTAACTGGTCACCCTGCAGACACCTGCTGCCAGTTCAGCAGAATACAAATGTTACCGAGGAGCGCGTCAGCCTCTCGGGGAAGGGGGTCCAAGCTGACGAGCCCCCATGACAGTGGATCGGTAGAGACATCCCATATACCATAGGACTTCATGCTCCCGAAGTCCCAAACCCGTTAGTCAACCACTAAGACGTTTCACGACTGGTGAGTTAGTCAAAAAGCACTTCAGGGGCCGGCCTGGTGGTGTAGTGGTTAAGTTCACACGTTCTGCATAGACAGCCCGGGGTTTGCAGGTTCAGATCCTGGATGTGGACCTATATACCGCTCATCAGCCATGGTATGGTGGCATCCCACATACAAAATAGAGGAAGATTGGCACAGATGTTAGCTCAGGGCCCATCTTCCTCAGCAAAAAAAAAAAAAAAAAAAAAACGCACTTCAGCATTTGTCAAGTGGTTCTAAATCTCTGGCCCTGAAGGCCGCCCCCTCTGCACAAAGCTGTTACAATCCCGCTCTCCACACATCTCAGAAAGAAAACTTGAGCTGGTCTCCAAGGCCAAGGGGTCTACACTGAGCCCACGTGTGTCATTCTGGATCCTCTCAGGCTCACATTCCTGCTTTCTGGGGCCCAGAGTTTTCCCGAAGGACAGCTGGGCTGCGGGGCGCAGGTAGAGACTTAGAGAAGAGCCATCACCTGTGACGTGACTGCATATTCGTTACCTTTAATCTCTATATCGATGCCACAAAGTAGGTACGACCACTCCCATCTCACAGATAAGGAAACTGTGGTTCAGAGAGGTTGAGTAACTTGTTCAGGGTCACACAGCTGGTAGGCAACAGACCTGGAATCTGAACCAGGTCTGAGGCCAACGCCCTACTCTTCCCCATTCACTACAGCTGCCATCTGGACAGCAGCTGCCAACAGTTAGGTTGACTCCTAAACTGCCTGCTAGTGACTCCATCTTCAGATGGTGATGCCCCCTCTGAGCCCTCTGTCACCTGGTTCTGAGACTGGGACCAGCCCCTGGGCCCTGGTCCTGTACTGCTTACTTTTTTTTTTTTCTTTTTGGTGAGGAAGATTGGCCCTGAGCTAAAATCCATGCCCACCTTCCTCTATGTTTTGTATGTGGGACGCTGCCACAATAAGGCTTGATGCTGTGTGTACGTCCGCACCCAGGATCCGAACACATGAACCCCAAGCCACTAAAGCGGAGTGCACAAACCTAACCACTACACCATCGGGCCAGCCCCTTGCTCATTTTTTTTTTTAATTCAAGAAATATCTGGATAAAAAAAGTTCTCGTCCTCCAGGAAGTCTCTCAAGAGACAAGAATAGAGGTCAACCCCCAACTCTCACCGGCTCCTCTGAGCTGATGAGAGATTTTCCAGACACCTGGCCAGTCCCGAATTTGAAAGAGGTCGTTTCTTCCCACTCTCCCTCTTTCTCTCCGCCCAGCACAGAGCTGACCCCGGCTGGGCCCCACGTCTGTCTGGTCGGGGGCCCTCCTGGGGGCACAGCCTCTATTCTCGGCCCCAACAAACCAGAGCTCCCTTAAGGCTGGGATGACTGGCAGGACCGGGGGGAAGTGGGGTTGTGGTCCCAGGGGCTGGAAGGCGGGCTGGCAGGGAACGGGACTCACCATCCAGCATCTGGGACCCACCCCCTGGAGCTGGCCCACGGCAGGGTCACAGACGTCAGGGTTGGGAGCGTCTGCAAAATTCTCCTCGTTGGGTGATTTTCACACGTTTTTCAGCCACAGAGTCCCTTAGGGACGACATCTAACGCGGAAGGCTGAAACACCAATGGTAACACCGAGGAAGCCCCAGTGAGGGAGACTTCCTCCCCGGGCGGGGGGCGCGTTCTCAGAACCCCAGGCTCCAAGGAGCTGGCGGAAAACCTCTGGGCAAGTCCCTCTCCTCGTTTTGCAGGTGAGGAAACCAAGGCCCAGAGAGGGGAAGACACTTGCTCGGGGTCACCAGGCAGTTCCAGTGGCAAAGGCAGATCTAGGACTTCAGCCTCCTGAACGGCAGGCGGGCCTTTCTCCAGCTCCGCCCTGGCCTTCTAGCTGCTCCTGTCCCCTCCACAGGGGACTGAGTGTGCCTTCTGGTGTCCCGTGGCGCACGCCGGAGCCTCACGTAACGCTCGCCCACCCAGGAAACTGTTGGGCCTTTCGTCTCCGTCTGCACTAGCTGGGCCCCTGGAGGGCGGGGATCCGGCAGTGCCAGGCCCGGAGAAGGGGCTGCAGATTGATTTTGTAAAGTGAACGAGGACGGAAAGAAGGGAGGCAGGGAAACGAGTAAGAGGACAGGGAAATATTTTCTCGTCTGGAATATTGTGTTATTGGTTTCCAAGATTTGACAAAACATGAGACTCTAAGGTAGGGAGACACACACACACACATGATCGAGCCCTACACGCGTGCACACATGGCCACAGGGAGGATCTGTGACAGCACAGGGCACCGTGGGGGCAGACCAGAGCCTCAGGAAAGGTCAGTGTCCCTGTGTGACTACGTGGGACGCTCCTTGTAGCCCCAGCATTGGCAATCAGGACGCAGCAGGGACAAACTGCTGCCAAGTGCCCGCATTCTAAAGAGTCTAGACTAATTGGGGCCCGACCCCAGCCATCTTTGAGGAAAGATCGGAGAGCTTTTAAGCCGTAAGACTAGGTGAGGTGAGCAAGGGAGTGAGCACAGATGGAGAGAGAAGAGGCTCAAAGACGGTGGAGAATCAGCCAAAGGGAACGAGAGTGGCCAGTGAACGGGGTGGGGGGGCACCCAGGAGACGGTGGCATCCGGAAGCAAGTGAGGGAAGTGTGGCTGGATGCGGGGAGGGACCCGCTGTGTGAAATGATGCTGATGGGGCCACAGGGGACGAGGAATGAGGCTTGGAGGCCGGATGCTTGGCTCTTTTCTTCCCTCCTCCTTCGTCTCCTCCTTTTAAGTAAAATTTAGATACAGTGAAAAGCACAAATCTTACGTGGACTATTGAATGCATTTTGACAAATGCACGCACCTGTGCGAGCCAAACCGCCATCAAAATATAGAAGGCCACCATCACTGCAGATGCTCCCCCGCCGCTTTTCCCAACCTCCCTTCCCCTGAGAGGCAGCTGCCGCAAGGAGATGCCTCTTTCCTTCCTGGGATTGATAACCCGTGTTCTCTCTTGTTTTCTTGAACAGACTAGCAAGGAGTTTATGTTCAGAAAACCAACTTTTGACCTTTTGAACTTTCCCTAGTGTTTGTTTTCTATTTCGTTAGTTTCTGCTCCTTCTGATTTCCTTTCTTCCACTTACTTTGGGTCTATTTTGCTTTTCTTTTTTCGAGATTCATGAAGTGGAAATTTAGGTCATGGATTTCAGAATTTTCAAGCATTTAAGGCTCCCGTTAAGAGCTGTTTCAGCTGCCTAAGTTTTGACATACTCTCTTTTCATTATCAGCTAGTTAAAAATATTTTCTATATTCTCTTGTGATTTGTTGTATTTTTTGTTCGTTCGTTTGTTTGTTTATTTGTTTGTTTTGGTGAGGAAGATTGGCCCTGAGCTAACATCTGTGCCAATGTTCCTCTATTTTGTATGTGGGATGACACCACAGCATGGCTGACAAGCACCCAGGATACTAACCTGTGAACCCTGGGCCGCTGAAGCAGAGCGTGCAAACTTAACCACAACACCACCGGGCCAGCCCCTCTTGATTTTCTTTTGAGTCATGTGTTACTTAATTTCAAACATTTTGGAGTTTCCAGATACTTCTTTTTTTTTTTTTAATTTCTAACAATTCCATTCCACTCAGAGAACATATCTGTATAATTTCAATCCCTTTAAATTTATTGCAATTTGTTTCATGGCCCAGCACACAGTCTTAGTGACTTACCATGTGCACTTGAAAAATACGTATATTCTGCATTTGTTGAATGTACATAGACATTTTTCATTATATCTTCCTGACAAATGGACCCTTTTGTCACTTGGACATGTCCTTCTCTGTTTCTGTTAATATTCTTTGCTTCAAAGTCTACTTTATTTGGTATTCACATAGGCTCAGCTCTCTTCTTATGGTTCGTGTTTGCATTCCGTATCTTTTTCCATCTTACTGCTTTCAACCTGTCTGTGTCTTTATATTTAACACGTGCCTCTTGTAGATAGCAAGTAGGACTCACTCTGATTTATTCTGGCAATCTGTGCATTTTAAATGGAGTGTTTAATGAATTTATGTTTAAGGTATTATTGTTGGCTTGAATTTAAATCTACCATTTTACTATTGTTTTCTGATTGCTGATCTCTTTTTGGTCCTCTGTTTCTCCTTTCCTTCCTTCTTTTGGGTTAATTAAATATTTCTCAGAATTCCATTTTAATTTATCAATTAGCTTTCAGCTATTCCTTTTCACATCTTTTTGTGATTGCTCTAGAGATTATGGGATACGTCCTTAAATAGTCAGTCTTCTTAGAGTTCATATGGGGCCATTCAGGTAAAATGCGAGAATCTTGCAACCATATAGGCTCATTTGCCAGCCCCTTCCCTTTATGCTATATTTGGTATATGTGTTATACCTATATATTATAAAACCCACAATAAAATGTTATGATCTTTGCTTTAAATGCCATATGTATTTGGAAGAAATTAAGAGGAAAATAGTCATTAATATTTACCATTTCTGGTGCTTTTCATTTCTTCCAAAGATTCAAGTTTCTATCTAATATTATTCCCTTTCATCTGAAGAACTTCCTTTAGTGTGTCTCCTTGGGCAGGTCTGATGGTGAGGAATTCTCTCATTTTACAGTTATCTTTAAATGTCTTCACCTTCATTCTTCAAGGATTATTTCTCTGGATATAGAATTCTACTCGATGTGTCTTTTTCTTTCTTCGCTTTAAGGATGCTGTTCCACTGTCTTCTGGCCTCCATCAGGTCTGATAAGAATTTAGCAGTTGCTCATGTCTTTGTTCCCCTGTGTGCTTTGTGTCATTTTTCTCTGCCTGCTTTCCAGGTTTTCTCTCATCTTTGGCCTTTGACAGTTTGACTATAATGTGATTTTCTTCGTGTATATCTTGCTTGGTGTTTGCTGAGCCTCTTGGATCTATACATTACATCTTTCACCATGTTTGGGGAAATTTGGGCCATTATTTCTTCAATTATTTTTATGTTTGCATTTTCTGTCTCCTCTCATGGTGGGACTCCAATTACACATTTGTTAGACATTTTGATAGTTTCCCACAGACCATCGAGTGTCTGCTTATTTTTATTCCTTTTTTTCAGATTAGTTCGTTTCTGTGGATTGGTCTTCAGTCCATGACACTTTGTTCTGTTGTTGTAAATGTGCTGTTGAACTCATCCAGTGAATTTTTATTTTACATACTGTATGCTTTGGTTTCAGAATTTCCATTTGGTTCTACTTAATGTTCTGTATTTCTTTCATAAGATTTCCCATTTATTCATTCATTATAAATATAGTTTTCTTTACATCTCTGCTCAAAGTTATAATCTCCACTTTAAAATCTTTGTCTGCTAACTGCAGCATCTAAGTCATTTCATGATCAGTCTCCATTTATTGCCTTTTCTTGCAAGTATGGGTCACATTTTCTTATTTCCTATTTTGTTGGTAAATCTGGCTTGCATCCTGGACATTATGTACATTGTGTAGCTTCTGGATTCTGTTACATTCCTCTGAAGAATATTGTTTGTTTCTTTGTTTTTTGAGCAGGCAGTTAGCTGGCTGAACTCAAACTTCCTTTTTGGTGAGCAGCAGTGAAATCTCTGTTCAGTCCATTTAGTTTTAGTTGGTCTGCTTGAATTTTTCTCCATGCATAACAGTTCAAGAGTCAGTCAGAGATATGGGCAAAGCTTATACGCAGAATTAGAAGAACTCCCTCTCTTTTCTAAAATTCCCCTCCTGCACTTTCCAGCTGCCTCAACCTCTCACCTCTGACCCTTCAACTCAGTGAGGCTGTGAGTTTCTGTCTGAGGCTTAGGCGGTCTGCGTGGAGCCAACTGCAGCCTGCCCTCGGGTGGAAAGCTATAAAAATAGAAAACCAACTCAATGCAGTTTTATTCTTCTGAGTGTCAACTCCCTCAGCTTCTGACTGCTTTTAGCCACTCTTCAATCCCTTCAGGAAGCGGTCACTGTCCATATTTTGTGGACACTTTATAGTTATTACCTGCAGGAAAGATGATCTGATAGGGGTAATTCCACCACTACTGGAAATGGAACCTCCTGACCATCAAATTTAGCGACATCGAAGTCATTGGTGCCTTGACAAGAGTAATTTTGGTGAAGCGGTAGAAGCAGAAACTTGGGGGCTGGCCCCGTGGCCGAGTGGTTAAGTTTGTGCGCTCCGCTGCAGGCAGCCCAGTGTTTCGCTGGTTCGAATCCTGGGCGCGGACATGGCACTGCTCATCAAGCCACGATGAGGTGGCGTCCCACATGCCACAACTAGAAGGACCCACAACAAAGAATATACAACTATGTACCTGGGGGCTTTGGGGAGAAAAAGGAAAAAAATAAAATATTTAAAAAAAAGAAAGAAGCAGAAACTTGGCTAGAGTGGGCTCAAGAGAAAATGGGAGCAATGGAATTATAGAGAGTGAGTAGTGACAGTTTTCTGAGAAGTTCTAGTGTAAAGGGAAAGAGAGAAATGGGGCGGTTTCCGGAGGTGGATGTAGCACTGGGAGAGGGTGAAAGCATGTTTTATATGCTGACGAGAATAATCCAGCAGAGAAGCAGACACTGATGATCTGGGGAGAATTGCTGGAGTGGTGTTCTTGCGTCGATGAGAGAGGACAGAATGTGCCTAAGCGGAGATGTCAGCATTGGTGGGTGTGAACATTTCGTCTCCGGCCCCAGAGGCAGGTGGGTGGGCAGGCACGGTGAAGCGAGCTTGTCGGGGTCACCTTTGTTTTCCTCCACGTTCTCAGTGAGATGGGAAGCCCAGTTATCACCCGAGAATGAGGATAGAGGAGGGCGTGTTAGATGCTTGGAAGAGGGGAGAAGGCGTGAAGTCGTTTTCTAGGAAAAGTAAGAAAACTAAAGAACTAGGGATGCAGGAGTGCGGGCAGCACTGAGGGCCCCCTTGAGGTTGGTGGTCGTGAACGTAAAGGGAAGCCAGTCAGCAGGGGCACGATCTTCTCCACCCAGGTTTCGCTGGCACACAGGTGCAGGTATAGCGTAGGTGACGAGGACGTGACCAGCGGTTTGTGCAGGCAGGTCCAACGAGGCCAGAGAGGAGTCAGGGAGTTAAGGATGCATGCGAGGGAGGGATCACAGGGGGACCGCGGGCTTTAACCCGGGTGAGGAGAGAGAGGAGGTGAGAGGCTGGAGAGCTGATTAAAATGGAGGTGGTGGAATGAACGGGCTGCAGGATCTGAATTATTAGAGTCAGGACACTTGAAGGGCTGAGCTGTAAGTTAGGAAGAGGTCACAGAGAGTGTGTGGTTTGAAACTGAAACTACGGAGAAAATATCATTCTTGGTAACAAGAAGCTTAGCTGACCGTGGGCGTGAATGGCTGAGACAGGATAGAAGACAAAATTGTTGGAGGAGAGGAGATCAAGGAACCAAGAGGCCAGGATATTGGAAGGATCGTGCTCGTGGGCGTTGAAATCACCGAGAATGAAAACAGAAGTAACGTTGAGAAGGTGACGGCAGACTGGAGCCGAAGTTCTTCCGGGAAAGAGGGGGTGGCCTGGGGATCTAGAAGTGGCAGCAACTGGGGGGCAGTGATGGCGACGGCGTAGTGTGATGACACGGGACATTTCTTCAGCTGAACTGCAGTAAGGCTCCCGGGCAGCACTAAGCTTTCTTCCCGCAACCCCCCACCCAAGCCCCAGCCTCCCCCTGCAGTAGTTTCCTGCAGGCCCCAAGCACCTGCTGGGGACGGGGACAAGCTCCGCTCCATTTCCCAAATGTGGCCCAAGAGCCAGCCGCTGCTGGAGATCAGAGCGAGAGGGGCTCCACACTTGGCGTCCAGGGGTCTGAGCCCTGTGGACCCACGTGTCCGGCTGGTGGTCACACAGACTCACAGCGAGGCTGAACTGTGGGCGGAGGCCGGTGCGGGCAGCCCCGCACACATGCCTCACCATCGGCCCGCCGGGTTATCTTGAGAGGGGAGCTGCAAAGGTTGGTAGAGACGTCGGGGGTGGAGCGAGAGATGCGGGAGTGAGAGAGGGAGGCTGAGGAGAGGGTCTGGGTCCTTGTGTGCGCCTCTGCTGCTCATTCAGGGGAAACTGAGGCACCAAGAGGGGAGAACTCACGTAGCAAGCGTCAGACCTCTTGTGGCTGCCCTCGGAGCTTCTCGCCGGCTTCCCAGCATGGCCCTGGGCCTTCCCTTCTGCTCAGGGCTCCGTGATGTTTAAAACAAGCCTGAGCCACACAGAGGGTGGTTTGTTTGCTTTTGAGAAACAAAAAACAAAGGTTATTGAAATCGCCACCCAGCCAGTCACCCAAGCAAGAAACTCTGGCCTCCCCTTTAAAACCTCCTGTCCCCCCCAGGCGCCACGGCGGACTGCTCTGCAATGTCACCTCACCTCCATCCTCACTGTCTTAACCTGGGCCACCTTCCAGCCTGGCCTCGGCCACGGCAGGATGCAGGCGTCTCCAGCTGGCCCCTCCTCCTCCTGTTCCCCAGCCACCTCCCAGCCTCCCGAGCTTGCCACCACCTGAGCCGTCTGAAAACAATGCTGATCGCAGCCTTCCTCGGCCTAAACCATCTGCCGGCTCCCAATTTCCTGGAGCTAGAATCCTTAGGGGTCACCCAAGGCTCTCCCGGGCTGGCCCAGTCCACCCTCTGTCCCCTTCCTGCGCACCCCACCCATGCTAGGCGTCTCCCCAACACGCAGTGCCCGTTTAACCCGGCTGTGACTGGTGTGTCACAGCGTTCCCTCTGCCTGGTGTGTCCTTCCCCAGCTCTGCCCGTCCAAACCCCATCCGTCCTTCCCTCTGAGAGACCCGCACGCTTACACCCGCACAGAGGCCACGATCGGGTCCTGACCTGCGGGCGTGTCTACCTCACGCCTGTGGGATGTGGGGTTCCTTGTGGGCGGGAACAGCGACTTACTCGTTCTCCTGTCCCTTCTCAACACCCAACAGGGGGTCCAGCACAGAGCGTGTGCTCAACACTCGTGTACGTGGGATTCAAGGTGACTCTGGGTCTAGAGTCACAGAATCTCGTGTTGAGCTAATCTTAAGAGACTTCCCTGCCTCCCTCCCCACCAGCTGACTCTGAAGGCCAGTGACCACAGCCTCCAGGCCAGCCAAGCAGGCCCTCGGAGCCCCTCCAGGGAAGGACAACTTGAAGCCATCCTGGCTGTTAGACACGTCTAACATCTCTGACCTGCTCCAACCTCTGGGTCCCTATAGCTCCACTCCCCGGCCCTCGTCTTTGCCATCTGGGGCCGTGGAGAACAGGCCAATCTCTTTTCCCCAGGACAGTCCTTCCAAGGACTGACCACAGCCATCCCGTGGCCCCGAGTGTCCTCAGATCCAGGCGAGACCTTCTCAGTGTCTTTCCCTTTCCTTACAGCGCAGGCTGCAATGCCCCTCCCACTGCCTTGGCCACCCTTCTGCAACCACGTCTCAGGCTGTCATCGTCCCTCTTAAGAACGGAGCTCTGAATGGGGCCTCACACCAGACGTGGCTGAGTGGCACCGAGTACAGAAGGACTGGAACCTCGCAAACTTGGGCCATCCTTTGCTCGCCTGCCCTGTCCTCCAGGCCTGGAAATCTCTGGGTTTCTGGCATCTCCGAGCTCCCGTTCCTTTGAAACTTATGCAAAGGTCTTTTTTGACTGGGTGGGGCCCCAGACGTGTGGCGGGTCCTACTCTGCGACCTCCTCAGGGAGCTAGGTCTCGTAGGAGCAAGGAAACAGAGCACGCGCGTGGGTATTTGGAAATGGAATTCTCCACTGTGGATGGACCCAGATGTGGAATGAATCCATTCTCAGGTAAGTCATTTTTGGCTGGGGAAGCAGCTCAGAAGCCATAAAAAATGACGTCTCAATATCATTGTCAGGAAATCCCAGCTCTGCCAGGAGTCGATGTCTGGTCTTGGGAAAGGCTTCCCACCAGTTTCCTTTCTGCTAACATGGGGTGTTGGGGTCCCGTCGAGTCCGGCCACTCCGTGCTGACATCTGATGATTCTCCGAGCAGCAGGACTCTCAGAGTCTCCTTTTCCCAAGCCCACAGGCTCTCCGGATCTCCATTAGCTCCAGCCTCAGCCCCAGCCCGCCCAGCGCCCCGGCCAGGGCTGGGAGCCCACAGTCTGGCATTCCTGCATGCATTCCCACACCACACTGTGCCCGTGGCGAGAGGCAGGGGGCTGAAGAAGCTGGTGAGTCAGGCTGTCAGAACCGGCCCTGCCAGTTCCACCTTCCATCTAACCACAGAGTCAGCACAAGCCCAGGCTAGGGTTTGGCTGGAAACCTCCTCCAGCGGCTGCCACACTCCCTGCAGGTGGACAAGGCACGGGGTTTCCTGCAGACGCCCGGGACAGCTGCTGGATCTGCTGGGGTGCCTCTCCCCCACCCATCCCTTTCCGGGTGGGGATCACACCCTGTTTTACAAAGGCCATCAGGACACAGGGACACTAGCTCTGGGACTCCATTTGGAGGTTCAAAATGGAAGCTGCTGAGGCCCACCTGCCCACAGACCCTGGGTGAGGTGACGCTGGGCACCCCACACAGCCACTGTCCAGAAGGGCTTGAGAAGAGCAGCTCCAGCAGCCTCCCCTCCAACACCACCACACTCAGCTTCTCCCCTCAGAAGAGGGCTCCTTAGCACCAGGGAGCCACACATAAAAGTCTTAGCAGCTGACGTATCTGTGTGTGTGTGAGTGTGTCAGCAGAAGGGAATCAGATGAGCATTTCCCAGTTATCCCCACAGGATGTTCACAGGTGCTAAGTGACAAAGGATGTCTAAGTTTTGGAAACTCTGGGCTAAATGAGGTTGAACAGCTGGTTTTCTTTTTTCTTTTTTTTTTTTTTTCTTTTTTGAGGAAGATTGGCCCTGAGCTAACATCCATGCCCATCTTCCTCTACTTTATATGTGGGACGCCTGCCACAGCATGGCTTGATGAGTGGTGTGTAGGTCCACGCCCGGGATCCCAACCAGCGAACCCCAGGCCGCTGAAGTAGAATGTGCAAACTTAACCACTGGGCCACTAGGCCGATCTCAAACAGCTGGTTTTCTTGACTCGTGATTCCCGAAGCTTTAACGTGCTAACGTGCATTGCAGCAGAGAGAGGAAGAGAGGGGAGAGGGGTGACATGAAGACCCCCCCAACACAGAACCCCAGCGTTGCAGAGAGCCCGTCTGGGCAACACTCAGGTGTTGAAGCTTAGTTTCGAAGGCAGATTCTGGAATCCCAGGCAGGGACCCTCCTGGAACAAGGCAGACCAGAACGGCGTGGCCTGGGACAGCCCACTGTCTCTGCTGACCAAGTCGCACAGTGAGGCCTTCCAGGGGGAGTTCTCGCTTGTCCAGCTCCCGTCAGCTGGAGAGGCTGTTACGAATGTGGGGATCAGGTTGGAAGACGGGAGCGGGGTCTGCTTCATCACCCACAGAATTTGAAATGCTCTCTCTGCTGCGCCCCGTCAGCCTGTTACCAGCTGACCCAGAATCTCCATCTTTTGAGGCTCTGGATGACAAGGGTAACCTAACGTGATAATTCTCAGGTGCCGTGTCCGTGTGGACCCCTGGGGACCCCCTTGTTAAGATCCTGCATTTCCACAAGCTCCCAGGTCGTGCCGTTGCTGCCACTTGTGGAACACTCTCCAAATAGTGAGGTCCCACCAATCCGGGAAGGCTTCCTGGAAGAGCAGACCTACAAGAGAGAGAAGAGACTGAAGGGAAGAGATACGAGAGAGCCAAGCTGGGGCTGCAGAAGAATAAGAAAGTGGGGAGAGACTAGGAAGGGGAGGCGGTATTGGGGGATGGTGGGAACGAGGAAGCCAGCGTGGTCAGGGGCCCAGATTTCAAGGTCAGGTACGAGGAACGGGATGGGAGGTGCAGAGAAGAGCTGGAAGACGTCGTCAAGGTGGAGGGCTGGCAGAGTCTCCCACGGGCTGCACAAGCGAGGTTGACAATAATCTGGTGAGGCCCCGGGGACCACACCCAGGGCGAGCCCTAGTTCTGAAGAAGAGTGGTGTGGCAACCTGGGGCTCCTTGTCGCTCCACTCTCCAGAGGAAACCTCGACGTCCTGGAAGGAGTAGGGTGTCGTCGGCGCTTTCCCCTGGCCTCCCCTCGCCGGCGGCTGCAGGGCGAGGCGGGGTGGGCTGACTCACTGGGCCGGGCCCATCTTCGCATGAGCAGTGGTCCCAGGCTCGGCTCAGGGAAGGAGGGGCCCGGCCAGGGCCAGCCCTATGCCCCGGGCGTGGGAGGAGAGGGACCTAAACTGAAGGAATCTGAGGGGACGCAGGAGGAGGGCGGCATCACGGGGAGGGAAAAGGTCGAGGGGACCAGACTGGGAGGGGAGCCTTTCTATCAGCTCTCTATCCCGGAGACACCAGCAAACACACACCCCACGGCGTGGCAGCCAGTGTTCTGAGCACTTGCATTTATACAAGCCCATTTCATCTCACCACAGCCCAACGAGGGGAGCATCATCCCCATTTTCCAGATGAAGAAACTGAGGCACAGTCACTTGGCCCAGCATCCCCCACACCCTCTGCTCGCCTTTCCAAGAGGCAAGATTATCTCCAGCCCTTTCAGAAACTGTCCAGCACAACTGCCACTCCCTGGGGATAAACGCCGTTCATTTATTCATTCATTCATTCAGCGCCCCCGTGTGCCGGTCCCTCTCTGGGTGCTGGGGGTTCAGCAGGGAACGAAGCAGACAGATCCTGGACCTCCTGGAGCTTGCAGTGAAGCGGAAAGAGACAGAAAAAAACAAGATAGATAAAAACATAAAAGACAGTGAAAACACTAATGGAGAAAAATAAAGGAGCCGAGGGGCCAGAAGTGCAGGGAGAGGGGAGGGCACCCTGCAGGGGGTGGAGGAAGGACCTGCGGAGGGCAGGTTGGACAGTGACGTTCTCATTTGCTCTGGGGAAGCCCTTCCCGGCTAGACAGGGGTTCTGCTAAAGCTTCCCAAATTTTCGGACATTTTTGCTTCTTTCAGCAGTCACGTTCTAGTTATTAAACCTCTATCTAGTCCACTTCAACTTCCAGCCTCACCTTCAGATCGCAGTTCCCTCCCTCCTTGTGCCCAGCGGGCTCCACCTGGATGGTGGGGGGCTCCCTTCTCAGGCCCCTTTTCCACGAGGCTCCTCTAGGTGTCCCATCCCCTGTGAAGAGGCCCCTCTGTCAGCTCTGAGGCCGTCAGAGGAGGCCTCAGGAGGCCTGCGGGGAGGGGACAGTCCCAAAGAGCAGACTCTGGCACCGGTGGTCTCCATCCAGGCTCACCAGACCTGCAGATGTGACGCGCCCACCTCTCTTGAGGGCA